TATGAAGGTGTCTGGTAGGTTTTATTTTGGAAATTTTAATTTCCTTATTAACATTAACTTATCGCTTTTATCCGATTTTCTTGATCGCGGGAAATACCTCAAGTATGTGTAATTATTATGATACTTCGTTGCTATCTAGATTAAAATAAGTCCGATATAATAGATATTATTATAACAGGTACCTACACAATAATTATTTTATTATTAACTAGCGACCCGCCTCGGCTTCGCACGGGTGCAATATGCATATAATGTTATAAACCTTGCTTAAGAATTTCTCTATCTATTAAAAAAAGCCGCATCAAAATCCGTTGCGTAGTTTTAAAGATGTAAGCATACATAGGGACAGACAGACGGCGGATAGACTTCGTTTAATACTATGTAGTGATAGTGATTTTGTACTTAGGAAAAATATATTCATTATCAGTTGAGTTCCAGACCAGCCCTCCCATTGCGATCGCCCGCCAACCGATCGCAGAGCACACGGGTGCAACCCGCCGCGGCTACGGTACCGCGGCAGCTGCAGAACAGCCGATGCCGCGTCGTTTGCCTTATAGTATTCTCCATAGGAACTCCACCTTGAAATGAGCAAATAGCTTCACTAGAGGACTGACTGACAAACTGACACTCTTAAAAATCTTTTTTGACATTTGATATGCCTTCGTGGGCTAGTTAAAATAAAGGATTTTGACTTTGGTTTTTCGAAAATATTCTACATAATAAAATGTAGTCCAGAATTTTGGCTACGTCATAGTCTTAGTTCATATAACATGGGAAAAGATTCAGAACATAATTGATAAAAAAAGAGATTGAAATACCTGAGTAATGTTACAAAAATACTATGATTTATATCCCATAACAATAAGGTCGAAAGTAGTATAGCATTCAGTAGCAGACTCCTATCTATAATTTATCTCATCTATTCCCGTTGCCACTGGCGATCGATGGCACTAATGCATTTGCGAACCTGTCTGTTTGTCACTCTGCAACCCTAGTATTTAGGGTACCACTTAGTAGCTTAGTTAATACCTAATTTAAGTGTGTTCAGTTTAGATGCTAGATTATACCAAGTGTTGATTTCTCAATTAGTTAATTCTTAACTGTAGTATAAAAATTGTTTATATTGTAACTTTCGTGAGACATACTAAATATACTAGACATACTAAATAGGCTAGAGGCTCATATTCTTGAGCAGCAACTGTCGCGCTGCTACTCAGTAACAGCGACTCAGTCGCCGCGTCGCGGGTCGCGGAATGCTGCTCATGAATATGAGCCTCTAGCATGGCTTGAAACTAGTCGAGTTCCTCGTCAAATTATCACGTGAGTAAGCCGAAAACTTAATAATTTATAAAATTGTTTTTATGACATTTTTTAGTATGGAAGAATTGTCAAATATTCAAAGTTATTCCTCGGTTAAAATTTATCTGGCATTGGAAAAATCGGCCCTAAGTTAAATAGTAATTGTATGGTGTCTGGAATAGGGTAGATGCCTAATTTTTATTTTAATGTCCGTCTGGTTATTTTAAATCATTAGACACGTATTTTTATTTTCTTACAAAAACGAATACTTTCGACGATATATTGATTTGTAATGTCGCGTGACGTCACTTCTATGAACATTTTATACGTAGAAATGACGTTTCAGCCCCCACTCCTAAACTTTGATTCGTTTTATCTGAGTATTGTTTTATTATACGACAAAATAAAAAAATACGTGTCTCATATTATTTCATTACCTAACTTACGGACTAATTATATTTTTAATTTCCATGCCCTGTCATCTTCCCAATTGCGTCTACTGAAAGTACTTATGTACTTGGTGAAAAGTGATTTTATCTCGTATTACTTATTTACTTATTATGTGCACCTTGCCTGCATGATGTTATGTAGTTTGGCGAAGAATCAAGGCAACCCAATGTCAAGCATCTACTTCTCTTCAGCAGAAGTTAAACGAACTCCAAAAACATTGCAATTGAAATACATTTCAAAACGCCAACATAGACAATTATAACAAAGTTAGCGAATACAATACCAAAGCTTCTCATGCTGAAAACAGTACCATAACAGGTCGGCCATATTTATTTTGAGCACGTTGCGAATTATCCCGCATTCCTGTCTCTAGTGCGTGCACAAAGCAGATGCATGCGGAACCAGTGAACGAATGAACAAATGAACGAGTGAACGAGTGAATGAACATAACCTAGTTGAAGAGGCAACTGCGTCAACAGCATACCTTTAATAAAGACGTGCGTTTGTTAAGTTTAACACCATAAAGAAATGGACTTTGTTGCCATAGAGTAGGTTGCAGATAGTTCAAGAAACTAAAATAACAGTAAATATTAAATAATTTCGAACTCAGTAGAAATTAACTTATACGCTTTTCGCAAATTATGTTATTAGCTATTGAAACCTTATGTAACTATGGCTACCACCGGTCATCGGTACCCCCCGAGGCGTATTGTTGTTAGTGAAATATTGAACAATTGACTGCCTCGTTGGCCAAGTGGTCGCAAGTGCGACTGCCGGGCAAGGGGTCTCGAGTTCGATTCCCTGGTCGGGCTAGGTATAACTGGGTTTTATAAAAATTCTCAGTGGTAGCACGGAGCCTGGAATTGTGGCCGGTATATGGCAATAGGCTCACCCCCTATTACATGGGAATCATAACATAAAATAGTGAAAAGTGGGTGTTACATGGTACAGTGGCATTAAGTGCCGTAATGTGCACCTCTGCCTACCCCTCCGGGGATAAAAGCGTGTATTATGTTATGTGAACCATAGAAAATCATATCCTAAAATAATAACACTACAGAATATGTACTATTAATATTTTCTTTTCCTATAATTATCGCAATGTAGTCGACCCCGACTATAAACATAACAATCGAATAGTAATAGTAAAAATACCGACAACCCAATTAGCAGATACGTGGGTGTAATAGTAAACAATAATAAACGAAAACAAAAACATAAGATAGAGATAAGAAGCTGAATCAAAACAATATGGAGTATAATCACTTATACAAGGAATTCTGTTACGTATTTTACAAACGGCAGTATCAATAAGCAGTCTACTACTATGGAAATGCTTCTGCACAAGAAATGACTGTCATCATCTTCACGCTTTGCGCGTTGGAAGTCGTAGTTTAACCCTTAAACTGTCAAACACCAAGCTGTCACCGGTGACCGCAACCTATTGTTCTATAATTGTGTCTACAAAGACGGTACTCGACGAGTTAAATACATAGTGAAGTTTTCCATCGTCCATAATTTTTGTGATATTTTTTATACCACGACGCGACGGTGGCAAAAAAGCACACGGCCCACGTCGTGGTATTTTTAAGCCCTCTACAACCTCCCAAAACCGCTGCAACTCCTGTAAGCCAGGATCTACAGTAGATACAACCATGAAAACACCGGAACACGGAATGAAGTCCGGTGCGTCCCAGGGATATGAACAACTGTCTTGGTTCCCGCAACGAAGTGAATCAAAAGATATTATAAGAGGTGAAGAAAAAATATAGATTCCACTTCACTCGGTGAATTACTGCAGGAGACAAAATGAATTAAGCCTAAAGGCACAAAAAAGGGACTGTACAACTGGGTGAAGCCCAAGAAGCTGTATAAGGGATAGGCAGAGGTGCACATTATGGCACTAAATGCCACTGTACAATGTAACACCCACTTTTCACTATTTATGTTATGAGTCCCATGTAATAGGAGGTGAGCCTATTGCCATATATTACAGACACAATTACAGACTCTGTGCTACTACTAAGATTTTTTTAAACCAATTATTATTATAGCTGAAAATGTGGGTAGATTAGAAGAGAGCAGAGATTTTGAATCAAGATCAGTTAATATAATTTCGGCCGTAATAGATTCAGATTTATAAGAGAGAATTGCTACCCAATCTGTGTTAAAGAAGAGAAGCAGTCTTTTACTCGGATCTTACGCCACCCACGAGAAGACTAGTGATGGTAAATCTGTGACAAATGCCGTCTTCTCCAAATAACCAGTCTCCAGTCTCCGTCCACATAATCTATGTCCCTCATGCCCTGTGTACACAAGTGGACATTATACAAATGTTTGTCTCTGGCGCGAGTGTCAACAGGGAATTTTGTATTTAAGCTATGCCATAATGCCAAGCTATTGTATTATCAAAATAATGTTGCGACATCACATATCACGTGTTTGATAGGAAATAAGTGCTTAGGTATCAAATAACCGACCTAAAATCAAATACTAAACTGAATTTTGTTGCAAACTGATCGTAATAATACAATCAATGAAATTACTAATATAACTATCATTTACTAACAATATAAAATACAAATATACCTAATTGATGTCTTTGTCATATCGAGATTCGAGACGATATACCACGAATATTCATACGAAATTCTTCTATGTGTAGAACGTAGAACTGTAACGAAAAGGGATAAGGTCGAAAATCTAATAAAGATCAAGGACATACATAATATTATTATGCATGGTGTGTTATTTCATAAGAATTTTTAATTGTAGGTACTTACCTACCTAGTCTTACTTAAGACTAGGTTTTTTTTTTAAAGAATTAGCCGATATAAACGAACAAACGGAAACCCTGATGGTAAGCAATCGGCGTCACCCGTCGTTACAACTGCATTACCGGCCTTTTGGGGATTAGGAATTTGCGGGTTTTTGGGGAGATTGGGGGTAACTGAATAGAGACACTATAGGGTTTTTTTATTATACCTCTAGATACTTAAATAGACATTGAAATCCTACTAATCATTACTACTTAGTATAAAACAAAGTCGCTATCCGCCGTCGGCCTGTCCCTATGTATACTTAGATCTTTAAAACTACGCAACGGATTTTGATGCGGGTTTTTAATAGATGGAGTGATTCTTAAGGACGGTTTATATGTATAGTACATACCTACATATTGCACCCATGCGAAGCAGGGGCGGGTCACTAGTAATAATATACATAATATACATAATTGTGGGGGTAGTCACCAACTAAACAACTTAATTGCATAGCTCTGTTTTATTAAATTAATTAAAATAAGTTTTGTGTTGAATTTTACAAGTTTAATGTGGTTATCAACTTAATTATTGGTGCCACCTACCTGCCCAGTGTTATCCACTTGTTTGCAACAACATACACTGATTTGTTCTAAATCTATATCTTACACTGCATCATGGAAGCCCTCACACGCACTGTGTCCGACCTGTGCAGCCAGTTCTACCAACGCATGGCTGAATTCGAGCAGGAGTTGAAGAGAACGCCAGATGCGGCCACTGGACTGACAGCAGACTTTGCTGCTTTTCGCCAGTTTATCATCCAAGCACTGAGCACACTTCAGGAGCAAATGAAGGTAATGGCGCTTTCTATCGATGGGATTGAAATGCGCAGCCGTCATAAAATACTGCTTATGCATGGGGTGCCTGAATCTGAGACGAATGCTGAGGATACTGCTCCAGTGGTGGTCAAAGTAGTCAAAGACCACCTCAATATTGACATCACACCAGCTGACATCAAGCGGTGCCGCAGAATGGGACGTTCTTCGCACAAACCCCGACCTATCCTGTTCAAACTTAAAGATGTGGCTCTCCGAAATAGAGTGTGGCTTGCCAAAACAAAGTTGAAAGGTTCGGGTATCACTCTCTCCGAATTTTTAACTAAAAGTCGACATAAAGTCTTTATGGCAGCTAGGGATAAGTTCGGTGTGAGTCAGTGCTGGACGAAGGAGGGCGTTGTGTTTGTCCTGGACTCAAAGGGATCCCGACACCGTGTTACGACTATGGAGGACCTTGGTAAGGTCGAATCGCAGCCTAGTGGTAAACAGCAGCAGTCATCAGGACCATCGGAGCGGGTTGTTGTTGTTGCACAACCCGTGACTGCCTCTGCCACCAGAACGGTCACTTCCAAGGCATCCAAACGTGCAGCGGCTCGCAAGTAAACAATGTTCTGCTTTGTGTTTGCTCCCTGTAGGTAGTTCAGGCTGATTTACTTGATACTTAACAGAATTTTATACATTTTATTTTTGACCATTAATGATGGAGATGATGTACATCTCCATTTTAATTTCCATTATTTATTTTGCTTGTTAAGCGGTAGGCCAATATTTTAGGTATCGAATTGGTTTATTTGATGATGTCACTGTCATAATTTATTATGTCATGTCATAGGTGTCAAACGCGCGTTTCGTTACACATACAATGATAAGGGTTGAAAATTTAATTCTTTGTATTTTCGTATAATAAATTTCGTATAATATATATAACTACATAATAATTAACCACAACTAAACTATTAAATGAAACGAAATGAATGATGAAGTAGTTTGGTATTTTCTTGTCGATGAATACTAATTCATGCCTGGACTGCCACAGATTTGTTTTGGTTTATGATTTTTTTTTTTTTTATCGTTATTATTATTATTTTTTTCTCTTTGCTGTTGTCGATTTTACCTTTTTTTTTTTTTTTTTATTGATATTAAGTGTTTGAATGCCTATAAGGCATAAAACTTGTTTGAATTTATTATGTTGTTTGCATCTCTTATGTTCTTCCAGATTAACTGGCAGGTGGCTAGTGGATATATATATAATTTTTTTTTTTAACACTTTATAATTTTTAACACTTTTACATTTTGATATTATATTTTATCTATTTTTACTCATTATTACAAATACATGCTTAATTGTAGTAATAACACTGACACAGATTCATATTCATCTCTATCCTCAGACGATAACAGTTTCTACAGTATTCCTTCTTTAGGTGACACACTAGTTTCGATATTCTCCAATGTATCACGGAACTTCAATGTGGTCCATATTAACGCTCAGAGTATTCCGGCCCATTTCACTGATATGCTGGCAGTTTTCGATTGCAAAAATATTCATGCAATACTCGTATCAGAGTCATGGTTAAAACCTTGTCTTCCTTCATCTTCTTATTCCATTCCTGGTTTTCAACTTATCAGAAACGATCGTACCGCTGGGGGTGGTGGTGGTGTGGCTATATATCTCCGTAATAGCATTCCTTTTAATGTCCTTAGTGTGTCCGCGCAGCCACCTCCACCTAATGCTGGTGAGCATTTGTTTCTGGAGGTTGAACTTCAACGCACCAAGGCTCTTCTTGGCGTTTATTACTGTCCCTCCCTTCGTATTAACTACTTTTCCTCTTTCGAACTTCTCCTTGAAACTTTGATTCCCTCGTATGATCATTGCATCATCATGGGGGATTTTAATACATGTCTGCTTAAAGATGATTCTCGAACTCATGCTCTTACTCACGTTGCTGAATCTACAAATCTTTCTGTTCTTCATCTTAATGCAACTCACCACTTTCCTAACTCTGTTCCTTCACTCCTTGATTTGATTCTTGTCTCTTCTCCCAACCTTGTCGCTAAACACGGACAGTGTTCTGCTGATGCTTTTTCCTACCATGACCTAATTTATACTTCGTACATGATTCGCCCACCAAAGCATAAGTCAAAAACTCTTCTCCTTCGTAATTTTGACGGCATGGACATCGACCGCCTGCGGAGGGATGCGAGAGGTATTGATTGGACGACTCTGACTGAATCTGCATCTGTGGATGAGCAGGTAAATGTTTTAAACACTACCTTGCTGCAGCTGTATGATAAGCACGCACCTGTTCGATCTGTCAAGGTTAAACATCCTCCGACTCCTTGGCTGACGGATGAGATTAAAAATCTCATATCTAAAAAAGCAGCTGCAAAATTCAAATACAAGATTCAGCCTAGTGACAGAAATAAAAATAAATACATTACCATCAGGAATCGTTGCGGCAAGATGTGTAGGAATGCTAAACGCCAATATATCCATGAGTCCATTAAAAACAGTGATCCAGCTAAAGTCTGGAGTTTTCTTAAATCTTTAGGAATCGGAAAATCTACACAAGATTTGTCCCCTAAAAATGTAGACATCGATTCACTTAATCTACACTTCTCATCTTCGCCCAATTTAGATAGGGCCACTAAAACTTCTACTCTGAGTAATCTTTCACAACTTCCGATACCTGATTTTTCTCCATTTTTCATAAGTCAATTTACTGCATGTGATGTTAAGAGAAGCATATTGTCTACTACCTCCAACGCCGTCGGTAGTGACTGTATTAGCCGGAAGATGATTATCCTTATCCTCGATGAAATCCTTCCGGTAATTTTATTCATCTTCAATTTTTCGATTTCCAGTGGAGTCTTCCCTCGGAAATGGAAGGATGCTCATGTTGTCCCCCTCCCTAAAAAACCTAATCCTACCTCCTTCTCTGACTACCGCCCCATATCTATTCTCCCTTTTCTATCCAAAATCCTTGAAAAACTTATCCACCACCAACTTAGTATGTTCCTTTCTAAACACAATCTCCTTAGTCCCTATCAATCTGGTTTTCGGCGGGGTCATAGCACTACCACGGCCCTCGTAAATATTACGGACGACATTAGGTCGGGCATGGAGGTTGGGAAGTTAACCGTACTTGTCTTACTGGATTTTAGCAATGCGTTTAATACGGTTGACTTCGACATTCTGCTTGGTGTCCTCAGCTCTCTTAACATATCTCCATCGGTTCTTGACTGGCTTCGCAGTTACCTGTTTGGACGCCGCCAGCGTGTTCACTTTGAGGATACCTACTCTTCATGGTGTTGCACTGCTGCTGGTGTGCCTCAGGGGGGCGTTTTATCTCCGTTACTTTTCGCGTTATTTATAAATTCTATCTCTCTAGGTCTTTCTTCTTCCTACCATCTTTATGCCGATGATCTCCAAATCTACACTCAAGCCTCGCTCGAGCATCTACCGAAAGCAATTGCTTTGGTTAATCGGGATATAACTTGTATAAGCGAATGGAGCGCTAAGTTTGGACTGCTAATTAATCCATCCAAAACGCAAGCGACTGTCATCGGTAGTGCGCGTACTGTTTCCAAAATTGATTGGACAAATCTTCCTCAGGTTTCTTTCTTAAATACAAATATTCCTTTCTCCCGAGAAGTTAAGAACCTGGGGATCTTCTTGGACAGTTCTCTCTCTTGGACAAAGCAGTTGGAGATGGTCAGTCGCAAGTTATTTGCTTCGGCGGGTTCCCTCAGACGGTTTCGTAATTTCTTGCCCTATGCTACCAAAATTACACTTGCTCAATCCCTTCTTCTGCCTATTCTAGACTATGCTGATGTCAGCTATCTTGATCTGTCACAGGAACAATTGGACAAGCTTGAGCGACTTCAAAATCTTTCCATCAGATTCATATTTGGTCTTCGTAAATATGATCATGTCACTGAATTCCGTAATAAGCTCAAATGGCTTCCTATTCGATTTCGCCGGAACTCTCATATTCTTTCTTTACTGTACAATATTCTTTTCAACCCTTCTACCCCATTTTACTTAAAAGAGCGTTTTCAGTTTCTCGGTGACACACATTCGAGGTCTCTGAGATCGTCGGAGAATCTTAAATTAAGTATACCTATACATTCCTCTTCCTTCTTCGATAAATCTTATACGGTTCAAGCGGCTCGATTGTGGAATGAATTGCCTATCGAGGTGAGGCGTGCCCGGACTTTGCGTCAGTTTAAACACCTTGTGAAGGAGCACTTTCTCACACTATAAGCTTCTGTTTCTCCTTTCATTAATTGTACATACACACGCATACAAATACACACACACACACACACGCACACACACATACACAAACACACACACATAGCTTATTGTATTTTTGTATATTATTTATGTATTTCTTTTTATATGTTGCTAGTATATTATATCTATTGTAGGTTGTATTGTAGGCTTTTTTATTTTGTCTTTTTTTTTTTTTATTATTGTACACGTAACTACCCCTTATCTGGTTTCTTACAAATATTTCCATCCAAAGGTTGTCTGGAAGAAATCACCATTGTGTGATAAGACCGCCCATTGTACGCATATTTACTTGAATTGGGTTTAAAGATTTTTTTTTTTTTAAATTGTTTGTTTTAAACTACATAAATGTGTACAATAAAGCATATATAAATAAATAAAATAAATAAATATAAATGCGAAAATATGTACGTTTATTTTTTCGTTACTTCATCACATTAAAATGGATAAAGGTATCGAAATTAAATTTGTAGATTATAGTCTGGAATATCACGTTTTATTCGTCGCGAACACGGGCGAAGCCGCTGGCAGAAGCTAATAAACAAATTAACAATATCTACAGTAACTAATCTATCTTGAATTAGGTCAGTCAGATAAAATCTTAGATACCTATATAATAAATAAATACAATAAATAAAAATATAATCATATTGTATCGTAAATTACCCTTTATGAAATTAAGCTGAACGGACACGCCTAATTGGGCAATTAGAAATTCCATGATAATAATTCAAATACAAAC